CTTCGTTATTGTAGGTCTCCCATTAAAACTCACGCCTTCCTGAAGCAAGTGTGGATTCAGGATGCAGTCTGCATGTTAAATATTTAGTGGTTTAAAAATAATTTCTTTGAAAATACAACTTTTTTGGCTTCTGAAGCTACAGTAAAAGGATCAACCGTCTAGGAAGATATAGTTGAAATTTCTTTTGGAGAAAGCAAAGTATCCTTTGGAGAGCTGAAAACGTGTAACTGTGTTTAAAATGCAACTTGCTACTATCCGTTTGGGGTTTCTAGCAGTTCCTAAAGCAGTATTTTCTAAACATTAATGCTAATTGTTCCAAATCTTTTAAAATACAACATTAAGGTTTTTTCCCCCTTTTAAGCATTTGATACCTAAGGCTCTATTTCTTCATTTCCTTTTAGTTGCTTACTCACTTAATTGCCTCTCAGATTAGCCACTTCTTATCTGTGTAAACCTTTTTCAAGTTATCTAACTTTTCTGTGCCTCAGTTTATTCACCTGTAAAATAGAAAGAACAGTACCTCATAGTGCTGTTTTGAGAATTGTAGGGTGCATAGAATGGTGCCTGGACCAGGGTAAGTGCTATCTGCATATTAGTTAGTCTCATTTATTCAGCATCTACAATGTGCCAAACCATATAATTCAGAGCATAGAGCAGAAGCAGTTGTGAACAAACAACCAGAAATGTCTAATGTTGGGGGTGATGAGTGATTGAGGAAAAATAAAGCAGGGTAAAATTGTAGAGTTGACAGAAGTGTTATCTTTATACAGGGAGGACAGAAGAGCCTGTCTGATACAGATTTTTTTTTTTTTTTTTTAAGTGTAGACTTAAGAAAATGAGAGTCAAGGACATGGATGCCTGAGGCAGTAAGATCCCCAGGCTGAGAGGAGAGAAAGTAGCCAGGCCCTGCTGTCTGGCCACAGGCTGGCATGCGGAACAGGAAGGAGGGCAGGTGTCTGGAGCAGAGCCAACAGGGTGAATAGTGGTGAGCAAAGAAGTATGAGAGGCTGAAGGTGAGGAAGAGGGGAGTGTCTGCCAAGGATCACCTTGGTGGCCAGGTTAGAGGCTTTGGATTTTTGTCTTGATGAGACAGGAAGTCAGTCACTAGAGGGCTTTGACAGAGGGGCCGGTGACTTGCCTGACGGAAACAGGAGTCTGCTGCACTAGTGGAGACAACGGATGGTGGTTTACACAGTGGCAGGGGGTTAATAATTCTAATACCTAACAGGCCTCTCCACTCTGCCTTTCCCCAAATGATATCCCTTTCACTGGCATTTATTGAACACCCACTAAGGAAGGAAGGAAAGGCATTGGGCTGGGCCATTTTGCAGAAGTTCTCTCCTACCTTAGTGATGCAGCCCCCTCAGTAAAATAGAGTAAGATTAGAATATTAAAGCTCCAAGAAATGTTTGAAATCATCTATTGCAGCTATATTATTTTACAACATGAAACTGGAAATCCAGGGAGATTGACTGATTTACCCAAGATTGTATAGCCAGTTAAGTCAAGAGAAGGGCCTACACTCAGGTGCTCTTATTTTACAAAAGGGGACATTCAAAATCAGTGTTAAAAAAAAAAATCAATGTTTCTACTAACTTACAAAAATAACTTATTGTTCCTTATTTATTTTCCTTGGCCTCTTCTAATTTAAAAATAGCAACTGCAGAACTTCTTTCAAACCTGTTCTCATTGGTTAGTATTTATGAGAATCATTTCCAAAATGAGTATTTCTGAAGTTTTTAAAATGACTCTCTGCCTTAGGAAGTCTTTGACTATTGCCATAACCTATCGGTGGGTAGTTCTGCAAATCTATCACTGATAGAAATACCACCAACTTTCTGTAATTTAGTATGCCAATCTGCTTACCAAAAAATTCTCGTAGATTAAAAACATTATTTGTCAGATTCGAGAATGGGCTCAGTCAGCCTTAGCAAAAATCAGTTATAAAAACTTAATATACTGCCTGTTCCCTAGGAAAAAGGATATAGCATAGAGTCATTTTGGGGACAAATAAAGGATCTAGAACTGTGAAGAATATTTTATTTTTAAGGTAAATTGGAAACTTGATTTGAGATATTTCCAACTACTGCATTTCTTTGTATACCTTGGCGAAATGAAGACGGAAATAAATCTTGTTAAAGATAAAGCTGAACTTGATAAGAACTCTCTAATCTATGTTCTTTTTGAGTCTAACTGATGAGGCAGGTATTCTGTTATGATTTACTCCTCTTCCAACGAATCCAAGTTTATATCTGAATTTTTGTTCCCCATCACTGCTACCTGTAACTCTTCCTCTAGCACCCTAAAGCGGGACTGCCTTTTGGCAATAGCTTTCCTTTTTCTCTTGGAAAACTTGGAAGAGATATTAAGGCATGAAGAGCAAAATATACCCCAGGCCTCTAGTAAGAACATTTTATAAAACTGACTGGTGGACAGTCAGCTTGTTCCTAAGATCAGCACTAGAGCTTCTTGTGCTGTAGTTAAGTGTGAAAAGAGCCATTTCCTAATCTCTTTGTTAATCCCACACACATTAGGAGAGAGGAAAATTCAACTGAGGGCCAATTCTCCCCTGAGAATCCTTTAGTTTAATTATGACCCCTGTACATTAAATGTCTGTAAGAACCCACATTTGCTCTGCTGCTCCAGCTCTCAGCAGCAAAAGAGAGAGGAAACACTTTCACTACTAAAAAGAGAGGAAAGGATGCTCTTGTGGTTCTAAAACATGGTTCAAAATTCAATTTAACTGACTTCAGGCCACTGTGCTTCTTCTAAATGAACATCTCCTCACCGCTAATTTTGTGCTATTTTACCTTTCATTAAAAAATGTAATTCAGGTTAAACTCAGCTGAACAGCGAAAAGCTCTTGATATTTTGAAGCATTTTGGAACAATTACTTTGACAGGAGCCCTTGACAGTTAAATGACTCCGTTAAATGAATGTTATAGAAGACACATAATGGTTTTTAGTGAAATATTGAATTTAACCACAAATGAGGAAAAACGAGTCATAAGCATTATGGGTATATTTGAATAATAACATCTTGCTTATGAACCTCAACGGATTCTATAATTTCTAATGATCGTGCAATCAACTAGTTAGCTGGTGAGTATGTTTCCCATCTTGGTGCTGTCTATTCATTTTGGGGTTTTGCTTTTGTTGTTTTTTTTTAACCTGAGAAACCAATATGAACATTTGGAAATGCAATAGTTTCTTCCTACAACTGAAGCCCTCCTCTTTCCTTTTTCTCATTTGCTGAATGAGATTCTTTCACAAAGTAAAAAATCAGCAAAAGGCAAGAGCCTGCTGCCTGAGAACGTGTGAATTCACTGTACGCCAGTGTTTCCTCCATCCGTGGGACTCAATATTCCTTTTCTTATTTTATGGATCGAATGTGAGATAGTATCAAGGCTTTCACATGTTTTCTCATGACTAACGACTGAAATATGCACTGAAATAATAAAACTAGTACTGTTCAATTTCCTTTTTAAATTCAATTCCAATATAAGTGAGAGTGCCCCTGTGATGGTGAAATCTGGCTTATTATGAAGTTATGTTTTCTGGAGAAGAAGGGGAGCTAGAAATCCTTGTAGCCTTGAAACATGTGGGTTAGGAGTAGGTGGGGACACTCGGACTGCAGCGAGGAGCCAGAACAGGAATGCCCTTCATCTTGCTGGCCTGGCAGGCGGGGTGAAAAGTCAATGCTAAGCATGCTGGGTGGCACTGCTCAAATCTGCACACCGTGCGCAGCTACAGGTCCTGACTCTTCAGGCAGCTGAGGTGCAAGCTCCACCAGGGACCCACTACGCCCTGCATTTTTCTTCACTCAGCAACTGTCTATTTACACTTTAGTTGCCCATGGACATGCCTACTCCCCACCAGACAGTCACTCCTTGAGGACAGGGCGCGTCCTGTCATCTTGCACTCTCCCCTCTCAACAATTCTGAGTCACGGTATGCCGTTCAGTAAATGTACTTTTAAACAAAGAAACTTTTAACTCCTTCAGCTGACAGTGAAAACATGCGGGCAAGGCCAGATCACTTACACATTCGATAGCAGCTGAAGAAAAGTCCAAAGAGAGACACGGCGAGCTGCCGCAATTCGACATGCCCCCACACCGTGCTAACTCAGAGTGCGGTCCGTGGACCGGCAGCATCGCTCCCACCTGGGGACTTTATAAATACTGAATCTCAGGCCTCACCTCAGACCCCCTAAGTCAGAATCTGCATTAAACAAGATCCCCAAGAGACTTAACGCGCAGAGGTTTGCGAAGCGTTTACCTGGAATGGATGCCTAGAACGATGCCCAAAGCAGTGATGATGTGCATGACGGAGAGACAGAGGGCCGCGGCCCTGCGATGCATACGGAGGCCACTGAGCGGGTTTCAGAGCTCTCTCAGGACAGGGCCACTGACTGCTCACAGGTGGGAAACTCACTCACTCACACTAGTGCCCTGGGAACCCCTTCTAGATCCTTCTTCACATTCTTGCCTGTTTAAAGGCACAGCTGCTCTTAATAATTGTTTTTTCTCCTTGGTGCAAAGACAGTATTTATCGTGAGCATGCTGACATTTGCAGGAGTTTTGGCTTTCTTCACTGAAAATGTGGATGATTGAAAGGATACTGCTGACACCTGAATAAGAAATCCAATGACTCCAAGCTATGTAAATTTAATTATTTCCGTTAATTTTTTTTTTCAGGAATCTCTTTCTTTTCTTCAGCTTTGGAGAAGTCCTAGCAATTTTCATTTAAAAGAAATACAAGTCAGCAGTGGTTCACTGAACAGGCTGACAAGCAATTTCATAGGGGGAGAGGCGCTGTGTCTTTAATCTAATTTGTGCTCTCAATTCCCAACTAATGTATCTAGGGACCCTGATGTATGCATTTACAAGGAGACATCTGTAATGCAGGGTCCAGCTCGCTGCAATCCTCTGAAACATGGGTAAAAAATTGCTCTGGATTCTTGCAGCTGCCCCACAACATGATAAATCTGCATATACTCACAGATGTAGAAATATTCCCGGCCTGGCCTGAATTCAAATCCTAGAGAAAAGGGTGTGAAGAGCTGGAATTTCTCAGAGAACTTCAGCGGTCCATTTGGAGAGTGAGGCCGGTTACATTCCCATCTCTTGAATCCTTTGGAAGTATGGTCGCAGGCACTGTAGCCATCAAAGTTCACCATGTACAGGACATAACGCTCGGTCTTATCTTCCGGGACCGAGTCCTCATAGTGAGGGCAGAAAACATCCAGATAGTCGTTGATACAGACGTCAATGTGGTAGTCACCCTTCTGGAATCTGTGGGAAGAAGGAAAAGTTGAGATTATTCATAGAGGAAAGGCTTTGTGTTTGGAGTCAGCGGTTGGATCTTTAATAATGCCAGGACGAAGAGATTTATTATTTTAAGTTGTTTTTGTTGCATGCCATTGTGACTCGGGACCTGGTTTGAAATGTTACTGTTCTTAATCAAAGAAACAAGCCATTTTACAGAGGACTTTCTATTACATTTGTTTCAAATATAATAGAATTATAAATGAATGAATCCTTCACATTCATTTTAAGTATTAAAGATACTGGTTTGCTATTTTCATTCTTAAAATCCACATATATTGAGGTAAAGTTTTCTTATTTCTGAAATAGTGTTTCATTTAATAAATATTTTAGAGTAAATGAATAAGTAATTTAAAGAACAAATAAATGACTGAATTATTTTTGTCATAATTGAGACCATTCTCAATTTTCTATGCAAATTAAGAATTAGAGTAACAAAATTGAGAGAGTTAGAATCATAAAATTTAAAAGTTGGAAGGAAAACTCCTAGAACAACATCTACACTTTAGAGGAAAATAAAAACCTAAGGCATCATGATGAAACAGAGAGTGATTGAGCTAGACCTGGAATGGAGATTTTGAATTCTAGCTAGGTATTTATTTCCCTTAGTAAATTTGTTTATTTCACGGATTCATTTTAGCCAGTCTCCTTTTTTGATGCCCTGTCCCTTTCTTTATTAAGACAATTGAAAATATCTACTTTGAATGATTTTCCACCCATTTCTTTTAATCTCATAGGCTGTGCCCTAGGGCAGGGCTGATGAGCAGTGAAAGTAAGAAGCCAAATAAAATTAGCAAAAGCCAGAGCCTCTTCATCCCGAAACAGTTAAAATGTACACAAACGAATGTGCATGCCCACAAACACACGCTACTGCACACATCATACTATCTGCTCTGATCCTTACCTAACAAAAGTTTTTCTTACTTGTTTTAACTGATTTGCCTTTCCCTGTCAACTGAACAGTATTTCTCAGCACCCAGTAATACGCGAAAACAGGAATTGTTATGCACACACCGTTCTAAAATCAGGATGGAAAACCTAGAAAAAAAATCCTCTGTTTTTAGCGAGTGAAGAAATTCTTCCCTGAGCTCTCACAAGGGTCAACATAAAGCTGTGTTACTGCTGAAATACAACACCCATAAAGTCATATAATCTTCAAGTGAGAGAGTCCCAGTGATGGTGAGCTGGTCTATTCCATTTTTGGACATTTCTAAATGTTAGAAAGTTTCTTCTTATATTGAGTATAAATCTGCTTCCGTGTAATTTCTATCCAGTGATCCCACTTCTGCTGCCTGAAATTACAAAGAACAAATCTAATTCTTCTTCCTCCAGGTAGTCCATAAAACATTTGGAGATGTCAGCTATATCGCTCTCCATCCTCCTTTCTCCAGACTGGAAAATCCTGATTCCTCTGCTTATTTCTGGTATAAGTTCCTCCAGTTTCCCAGTGTTTCCCTTAAAATGCAGCACCCAAATGTAACAAAGACCTTCCATAGGTTGTTGTGACCAGTGCTGAGCCCAGTAGAAAGACTACCACCTTCACGCTGGTTGCTAAATGTTCAGTGACAAAGCCTAGATTCCTTTCTGAAATACAGCATGTGAGAGTGGAAGCGCCAATTTTGAGTGAGTAGACTGATATTTAGGGACTGGTTTCTGCTGCAGGTTGAGTGGGAGAGTCACTCAAGCCATCCTGAGCCTCAGTTTCCTCATATGTAATTTGGAATAATAATGAGAACCTCACATGGCTGCTTCAAGTCTCAGGTGAGGAAATGTATGAAAAGCACCATGTGAATGTGAAGTACTGTTACTATTACCAGGATATATTAAAGCACATTCAAATGAGTGATATAAAAATATTAACTTTTACACATCAGAATAAAAATATCCCTGTTTTCCTTTTTAAAAATCCTAAGTCTGTCCTCAAATATCAAATGATCTACAAAAACTCCATTTGATTCATGCACTTGGAAAAGCAGCATTCCGATTTATACAAGGGAAATAAGGAAAGATGATCAGATTACTTTTCAGTGAGAGGATTTCAAAATACAATTTTTAAAAACCTTCGGAAGTATTTATTTCTGTATGTTTACAATGATCATGGAACCAAGTTTACTTTTTCTTCATTACTGGCAGACAACGATTTGTCAAGATGCAAGAAAAGCCTGTGTTGCTTTTAAAAGATTTTTGAACATCAAGGTAACATCACTGCCAAAGTACAAAGAAAAGACACTGCAATGTTCAGATAAAAGGGTGCGGGGCTATGAATCATCAGCACTCAAGAGAAGCCTGACAAGTTCTGGACGGGAGCCAGACAAGAGCTGCAGCAGAAGGCAATGCCCAGATGCACTTTATATTATTATATTATTATTATAGATTTTAAAGACATTCAAGGGGGATGTTTTTCCTTTCCCCAAGTGTCACTTATTTTAGCTTCTACTAGCACTCAACACTGCTTAAAAGTGAAAATAAAAATTAAAACCACCACTGTCTGGATACATTCTATTATTGCTTTATTCTACAAATTGTCATAGTATATTGATGCCTCATACTTAGCTTCCTTTTTAAACTTTTATCCTGTTAATATTGCTAAAATTTTAGTAAGCCATGAGATTGAAGACCTGGTTTACACTGGTTCGACCAGTTATCCCTTTCTGGTGATATTTTATTTTGTGTGGGTTGTTAATTAAAATCACTGTGGAATCTATTTTTAAAATGTGATTGCCCAGGAATTAGTATTGCTACCCTTCTATTTATATGACAAAATAAAGATGATGATTTGGCATATAACTTACATTTATGTTTTAAATCTTTAATTTACACAAATTAGTTTACTAATGTATATTTCAAAGAAGGGTCAATATAAACAAAAGCGATGATAAATTGGAACTCATAAAAGGCATCTGCATAGTGTGCCAAGTACAATCCAAAGAAAGTTTAGGGTTAAATATTCTAATTCTATCCTAAATCATGCTCTCTGGCTACAAAATTGCACTGAACCATTACTTTCTGGCCTTACTCTGAAGCAGCACATATGTATGGCTAATATTATGGAGTGCTTATTGTGTTATATTCATTATTTCAACTTAACTTCGATCACAAATCCCATGGAGCAGACATTATTTGTACACCATTTAAAGGAGAAAGCTGAGATTAAGAAGTCAAGTAATTTGTTCAATGTTGCACAACTAGGAAAAGATGGAGGCGGAATTTAAATCCAAGCAACTCAAGTTCTGACCTCCAGACTGAAGCTCTCCACTGCTCCACTTCCTAAGAGAGTAAATTGCTAACATCAGCTCTTAGGTCTACTCTGTAATCCCCTAGAGGGATTATTCTCATTCTTGATGGGTTTTGGTTCTCTTCTTCATTCACTGAGACAACAAACATTTGCCATATACAGGAGGTGCTATGCTATGGTTTAACATATGTTGCATATGAAATTCTTATTGAGTGGATATAATTAGTCTTGTTTTACCAATGAGTAAATGACTTTCAGAAAAGTTACCATCCTTAGTTGAATTTTTTCATAGGAAATAAGTAGCAGAATTAGCATTTTAACCTGTTTTACGTGGTTCTGAAGCATATTTTCTTTCCTCCTAACCACGGTGGCTCCAAAACTTTACCAGTTGGAGTTGTCCTCATCCAACTTATACTGGTCTTTTAGGAAAACCTGCTTCAAGGTTGAGTAGGTTGATCCACTAGGTTGATCCCCACCTTCTAAACTGAATGCCTAACAGTGAATCAACGTTTAGAATAAGCCCCAGATCACAGGGATGAATCACACACCTCATTTTAGTCTTTCATAGAATAAAGTGCTGTTAAGCTTTCACAAAAGGGATCTATTTTCCATCAGGAAACAGCTTTCATGAGCTTTAGCTCATTTTGAAAGAGCAAATTCAGAGGAAGACTAATTCCACATGCCACTATTTACAAGTGCCATGGGTAGCACAGCCACTGTTTCCCTACATCTGTAAATTCCTTGGAAGTGTGTTCTCTTTACTCCTGTTCCTTAATTCCAACCATCATTTCTCCAGAGCTCTACCTCTCCGAAATCACTGCATATTATGAACATATTATCAACAAGCCAACAATAATTATAATATAATTTCTACTAAATTATCACAGTGGTTTATAATGTAAAAGCGTGCATAGTTACCACTCTTAGAAAAGTGACTGTGTTGGAGTGAACTGATTGCTGCCCTGGCTGCGTTCTTACAATACAAAAGTCTCCAGTGCCCGGAAACATCTCATGCATAGAACGATGGCCCTTGTTCTCCACTGGGATGTGTGGCCACTCAGGTCAATTCTCCTTATAACATACAATAGTATATGTACTCTGTTACAGCAAGAATACATTGTACACATTAATCAAAATTTGGCAGAAGACTGGTTGAGACTGTCATGTATATTATGAAAGGGTCATTTTTATTAATTAAGTAGAATAAAATTCTGCATGGAAACTTGTTCTTTGAAATCAACTCAAATACCAAAAATGAATTATATACTCTATGATAGTTCATGATGAGCCAGAGGCGTCCTGGAGGATTGGAGGCGGGGGGAGGAGACACAGTTTGGGGCTATTAATAGCAAAGGTAACAACTACAATTGAAATCTGAGCAAAAAAGCCTACATACAGAGGAGTGCTTGTCTTAGTTTGTCTTCAGTACTTAGCTGACTCTCTAGCTAAATACAAGTTTGATTATAAGTGGAAAGCTATTATTAATATCACTCTCCTTTATTTCTCCTGTCTGGGGCAAGTGAATCATGACTTGAGTCTTAGAAATCAAATGAAATAGAGACAATAGAGGTAAGGTAACAGCTGACAATTCGCCCTTTCCTTTAGTTGCCAACAACACAAGTTTCTTCTGAGAGAGACACCACAACATTGCTTCATGCTCACAGTTAACCTGAACCATAAGGACTTCGCTCCTCCTAACTAAATACGTTATTTTCAGACTTGGGTCCTTCCA